GCATGAAGATGTTCCTAAGATTTGTCACTGAGAAGACCAGGCGGGTAGACACAATGAACCAGCCCAGCATATGTCAGGTTTTCCTTTATTCCTTTTTCCTCCCTTTATACTTTAATATGAGATTCCCCCCAGGCTCTGAAAGATTTCAAAGATATTGGGTCTAAATATAATCTTGCTAGAAAGAAGAGAATAAACCACTTGCCCTTTTAAATACCTACAATTCCTAGTCCACAAATAAATTGCTCACGGTAGTTGAAAAGGAAGTTTCATAAATCCCGTCCTGGGACAGAAAGTAGTAATTCACTACCAACTAATGATTCTGTTGTTTAACTCCATCGCTCGTGATTCCATCAGTCTTCATAACATCTCTCACAGTCTCCATTTCACTGACTGGAAGATAATACAGATTGACTCATTCAGCCCCATTTTAGCCTATCCATCTCCTTTCCACCACCCCTAACATCCCAGAAACCAAAAAGCTGAAGACACTTGTCATTTTCCAGATTTTTTTTTATAGCTCTAGTTCCTTCCAAAGCCTAGCTTCCACCGATCAGACCTAACCATGCAAGAGTTGGAAGGCAGAGGTGAGCCTCACCACATTGAGGCCATTCACCACCTCTGCTATTTCTAGGAGCATCCTTGCAGTGGTGGCATTTGGGTTTGGGGTCTTTTCTACAGCAACTGTTACAGAGGTCTTGTTATGGGCCGAATTGTGTCCCCCCAAATGTTGAAATCCTAACCCCCAGTACCTGTGTATGACTTTATTTGGAGATAGGATCTTTGCAGATCATCAAGTTCAGATGAGGTCATTAAGGTGAGTCCAATCCAAATGATTATAAGGGGAAAATTTGGCACAGAGATAGATGCACATACAGGGAGAAGACCTGTAAACATGAAAGTAGAGATCAGAGGACTGCATCTACAAGCCAAGGAAGCCAAAGATTGCTGATGAACCACAGAAGTTAGGAGAGAGACATGAAACAGATTCTCCTTCCCAACACTCAGACGGAACCAACCCTGCCAACACCTTGCTCTCAGACTTCTAGCCCCCAGAACTGTGAGACAATAAATTTCCCTTGTGTAAGCCACCCAGTTCTTGGTACTTTGTTAGAGCAGCCCTGGCAAATAAGTACAGGTCCCAATGTCTGGTCCCTCTGTAGGTGTTGAGAGGCAGGGAGAGGGAGAGGGCAGCATCCATTTTGACAATGCCCATTACAGCAGAGCGGAGTATTCCTTGAGCTGGCGGTTATAGTTTCAGGATGTTTGTTTGTTTGTTTGTTTGTTGTGTCCTAGCTTCCTTACTCTCTTAAAGGCAGAAACTACCTTGGGAGGCCAATTCAGTGGTGGTGCCTGAAAACTCAATCTAGAATCTACTTCTGCTCTTCTCATTCCTTGAATTAAGTCATTTTCTCTTAACCTAGGTCCAGTGGATTCTGTTAACTACAACATGTGTCTTGTATCCTGACTAAAGGACACACTGATGCTCCAACATGCAATGATGGTTTCTAAGCCTATGAAAACCAACAAAAGTTCTATTATTTTCCTTGAGCCGTATAGCATATGGATCCATAAGAAGTATGGAAGATCAAAGTACAGCGAAAAAAAGTCTAATCCCTTTAGAGATTTGGGTATTTGTAGGAAGAACTGTGGCTTTTCTGCAGTAGTAAGCTAGCTGTTTTTCCGTAACTAGCAAAATGGGAAAAAGCAGATAGGCAAAAGGGTGGGTGGGTGGATAAGGATGGAATTTGTAAATATGGGCATAGATACTATAAACACTGTCGGTCAAATAGAATTTTTGGCAGTCTTATGGTTTTGAAAAGCTCCTTTCAAGACTCTATAACATAGGGGCGCCTGGGTGGCTCAGTCGTTAAGCGTCTGCCTTTGGCTCAGGTCATGCTCCCCTGCTCAGCGGGGAGCCTGCTTCTCCCTCTCCTACTCCCCCTGCTTGTGTTCCCTCTCTCGCTATATCTCTGTCAAATAAATAAATAAAATCTTTAAAAAAAAAAAGAAAAAAGACTCTATAACATAAAACTTCAAAGAGAAATCCATTGCTAAAACTCAGGCCCAAGTCCTATATGACTTGCAGTCAACTCTTTATAAATACTGTGAATGATGTTTACAAGTCAAAAACTCATAACAATACTCCTAATAATCACAATAGTTTAGAGTTAGTTTTTAAAAAGTCATAACACTTACTGAGTCTAGATCTTTTCTACTCCAAATGGATAAACCAAATCTCAGAGAGGTCAAGTGACTTGCTCAAAGTAAAGCAAATAGTGGCTTGATTATTTGAAGGACAAGTAACTAACCCTTATGTAAGAAATAATTCTTTTTCTCAGTGTCCTCAGAAAGCATTTTTTAATTTAAATTAAATTAGCCAACAGAAAGTACATCATTAGTTTCAGATATAGTGTTCAACAATTCATCAGTTGCGTGTAACACCCAGTGCTCATCACATCACGTGCCCTCCTTAATGCCCATCACCCAGTTACCCCATCCCTCCACCCACATCCCCTCCAGCAACCCTCAGTTTCTTTCCCATACTTAAGAGTCTCTCATGGTTTGTCTCCCTCTCTGATTTCCTCCCATTCAGTTTTCCCTCCCTTCCCTTATGATCCTCTGCACCATTTCTTATATTCCACATATGAGTGAAACCATATGATAATTGTCTTTCAATGACTGACTTATTTCACTTAGTCGGTTAAGCCTCCAACTCTTGGTTTCCGCTCAGGTCATGATCTTAGGGTCATGAGATCGAGCACTGCATCAGGCTCTGCGCTCAGCAGGGAGTCTGCTTGAGATTCTCTTTCCCTCTCCCTCTGCCCCTCCCCCACTCTGAAACAAATGCTAAGAGAAAGCATGTTTTAGGAGTCGGTTGTATATCAAACTCTAATAGCTATGCAGAGAGGAATCTGGGCGAAGTCCTGCTTATCTACTGCTTGAGCACTGATTCAGATGTTCCGAAAAGACCATGCTACAGAGAGCTCAGCTGAGCTTTCAAAGACTACCTCAGAGTCGTCTCTGCCACGAGACTTCGAGGCTCCCAGTACACACATCTGTCTCTGAACTCCCAGAGCACTTCGGTTATTTCTCAGTTAGGATCTTTGTCTCTTATTTGTTTAGGAAACTCCTGTGTAGCACTTACCTAGCACCAACACTAATCCCAGGGCTTTCCTCAAAACAGTCCTATGTGGTAGCTATTATTATGCTCCCCATTTTATAGATGAGGACCTAAGATACAGATAGTAAGTAAATCTGCCAAGGTGGAGCAGGTTTCCAGCCGAGGCAGTCTAGACTCACAGTCTGTACTCTGACCCCTACCTTATACCTCCTTCAGCATGGTAAGGTTGTAGGCATCCTCCACGCCTAATCTCTCCTCCAATCCTGCAATCTTCTTGAGAACAGAGTTCATTCTGATTCATGTCTATATTCCACATAACATTAGAAATAGTACCTGGGCAGAGTTACAGATCATATCATTAATTCAATCAATGAATAAACAAATAAGTGAGGAAGGCATAAGGACATCTAGGATTCAACAGTGAAAACCCATCCAGGATAAACACAGGTTGGTGGCAATGGGGCAGGAGAAGCACAGTCTTTTCTCTTTGGTCACTTCATTCCCAAGAACTCTGCATGCTACTTTCCTGAAGCTGCTGTGCTCAAGTTTGTTAACATGGATGAATTGTAGGGAAAATCACCAACTGCAGGATGTGAGCTAGCTCTTGATGAAACTCAAGTAGAAATGTGACTTTACTGCTCTCTCTTCCCTTCCTGTTGTCTTTTTTCCCAACATGGGTGGCCTCCATTTGAAGTGCCCTGGGTTTCCTTCGATGTGTTTGGAGAGGTCACTGCCGGGCCTTCAGGAAGAGAACACTCTGACCAAAGCAGTGGGACAATTATGTTAAGGATATGCTATAAAATATATTCCACTTAGACGTATGATTCAGCCACTCAAATGTTCCCTGTAGTTTAGATTTGTACATTTGATTTACCCTTCCCTCATAAGCATCATAAAATCACTTTAGTGCATGACTCACTTTCTTTCATTGACTCCCATTTCAGTGATGATAATCAACCTTGGCTAATAGTTCTCTTCACTAGACTGACCGAGGGATTATTAAAAGCAATAAGGTCACATAACAGACAGTCAAAGATGGAGGCACAACAGGCAATTTGGCTAATACGTTCTAGTATTGACAGCTAACATTTTCATATTTTATTCAAGCTCTCTGCTAGGCAGGTTCTCCATCAAAAGCAGGGGCTCTGGAGTCCAAGTCCTCAATTTTGATCAGTCAACCCAAAGGTAACAGCAGCTCAATAACCAACAGTTGCAATAGAAAGATGAAAAAAATGAATGGAAGTGTTTTCTTGCTATTATATATTTTTATTTAAGAAAAATAGTCTTTATGATTAAATATTTGGCTTAAAATTGCATATCTTCTTCCTCAAAAGTTAAACATAAAATTACTAAATGAGCCAGCAATTTTACTCCTAGGTATATACCCAAAAGATTTGAAACAGGTATTGAAATAAATATGTGCACATGCATGTTCGTGGCATTATTCATGACAGCCAAAAGATTTTTTAAAAATGGCCATCAACAGATAAATATATAAACAAATTGTGGCATGGATATAAAGTGCACTATTATTCAGCCACAAGAAGAAATGAATACTGATCCATATACTTGTAACACCATGAACCTTGAGAACATTGGGCTAAGTGAGAAAAGCCAGACCTAAAAGGTCACATATTGTAGGTTCCATTTATATGAAATATCTAGAATAGGTAAAGGGAGACAGAAAGCATATTAATGGTAGCCAGTGGCTGAGGGGAAGGAGAAATGAGGGAGTGACTGCTCACCGGGCATGGGTTTCCTTTTAGAGTAATGAAAACATTTTAAAATAGATAAAGATAAAGGTTGTACAGACACTCTGAATGTACTACATGCCACTGAAGTGTTCACTTTAAAATGGTTAATTTTATGTTACATGAATCTCACCTAAAAAAAAAAAAATCATGTTGGGGACACCTAGGTGGCTCAGTGGGTTAAGCGTCCAACTCTTGATTTCAGCTCAGGTCATGATCTCAGGGTCATGAGATCGCACTTGCATTCTCTCTAAAATGAAATGAAATGAAATGAAATAATGAAACGAAACGAAATGAAATAAATCATGTCTTCCCACTGAGATGTGATTAATATACTAAATAAAATTACAAACTTGCCATTCTTTTGCAAACCAGTATAGTATACTTCCTACCATTCAAGGGTGAAGGGTGATGTTCAAAATATTTAATAACCAGCAAGAGCACATGCCTCCTGTCAAAAATGACATCTCCCATTAACAATTGGCGCCAGCCAGCGAGATGTCAGTCCTGTCAGCCTTCAGACAGAAAACCCCCAAAGAACCATTTGCTACGTTTGCCACATATTGCAGACCACTGGGCATGATCACTGAATCCTTACCAACAACCCGGACACATTTATAAAGGGATATTTCAATTTTGCAGGAGGAACTACAGTTCAGAGAGACTAAGTCATTTACTCAAGGTCACACAAATATTAAATGGAAGGGTCAGGACTCATGTAGGCGTTCTTATTTCAAACCATGATCTTCTGACTGCACAAAAGTCGTTTTTCTCAAGACAACTTGCATCAAAACAGCTCGACTGCTACAGATTTTTGGAGGATATATTGGCCCTTTAGGTGGTCCCCCAGATTTTTGAATTATTGAAATAGGGTCGAAAACACCAAATGAAGAAACAGACCAGACAGAATCCTTGGAATAAGCTCAGTGGTATAGTTACATGAAGAAAAACCAGAATTTGACAATTTACTATTTTGCAGAAGCAGGGACCCTGGATATAAAAGCAACAAAAAAATGACACGCCAGGTCCTCCCCACCCTGCTGCCACTACAGCTGATGATAATGTCTTATCTGGGGCCTTTTAGCACACAACCCGTCCAGTCAGGCAGGGCTCTGCGCTCAGAAGTTTAATGGTTTAATCCTCTGTTGTTGCCCTTTTAAAATTCTTAATCATTTCTGAACAACGGGCCCTGCTTTTTTCAATTTGCACCAGGAAGTGCAAATCATGTAGCAAGACTTGCCAGTATCCAACTAATTTTAATCCTTATCTGACCTACTTAGCAGAGTTATTAAGAAGATCAAATGGAGGTAATACTTGAAAATTCTTTACAGTTTGCAAAGTACTTTCACATACAGGTTATTATTCTTCAGTTAACAGATTCATAATTATTTGGATTTCCAGACCAATGGCTTCCTCCTTGAGGAACAGGTTGCTCTTTTTGCAAATGAAAAGACTGACCAGAGAGGGTGGGAGCCTTCCAGAAACAGAGGCTCCAGGCCAGAGAGGGCAGAGCGCACCTGACCCAGGTCTCCTGCCCCTCGGGGAAGGGTTCTTCCCTCAACTCCCACTGCTGCCTGTCCCCCTTCAGCAATAAGATCCAAAGATGCCTCCCCAGAGAGGCCTGGCTGGCACCACGAACTATATGAAGATATGCCCCTCACTTCCACTCCCCCTAACTCTCTGTCATGTCACCCTGGTCATGTCCTTCATAGCATTGCCATAATCTGTAATTATTTCTTTTTTGTTTGTTCATTATCTGTCAACTCCTCCGGAATGTAAACTCTACAAGAGCAGGGATTCTCTATGTGTTTTCATCAGTCCATATTCTGGGCACAGTGCTTGGCACGTAGGAGGAACACAATAAGTCATTTCTCGAACAAATGAAGAAATGAATGAATAAGTGAATGAATATTCTTTTCCAGGAGACTGGAGAACACTGCTTTCAACACCGACTCGAAAGCACTGTAAGGCCTTTGGCCACGTGGACCATGGGTGGCTTTCCTTGGAATGTATTGGTTTACAAATGTTTAACTATCAGCTTACTTATCTACCTCCTCTAAAAAGGAGATTCTAAACGATAATACAAAATGGCTTTGGAATTTGTACTAAGCCAACTGTGCACATGGTACAGAATGTTCTCAGAAGCTGCAGGCCTCATGAATAATGAGACAGTCACTGCTCAGATTTTACGGCCTTGCCTACCTGGTGTTCTCCCTCGCCCACAAACCTTTTGCCTCCTGACCTGAATCCAGATTCTCTCCTCTCCCATGAGAGATAACAGATGAAATCCAAGGGAATTACCTTTATCCTGAATATTGGCTACCACACGTGTTCGGCCATTTCCACCCGGCTCCGTACTTGAACGCTGCTATTTGATGGAAAGAATGTAATTAGCACCATATACCACGAACCTTGCTACCATCAGCGCCCCTGACCCAAGCAGCATTATTCCATTCAGGCTGTTGATGCTAGATTGCCCCAGAAGGCAAAGCTGAATCAACAGAGCCCGGCAGGAAGGTTGGGTTTACTTCCCAGCAAGTGGGAATGTGCAGTTGCAGCACAAACAGAGAATTTCTTTAGCCTTCCCTGAATTATGTTTGCTGTGCTTAAAAAAATCAGGATCTCTTAGGCTATTTGTCCCATACACAATTTTTTTTTTAAGATTTTTTTATTTATTTATTTGAGAGAGAGAGAATGAGAGAGAGCACATGAGAGGGGGGAGGGTCAGAGGGAGAAGCAGACCCCCCGCCGAGCAGGGAGCCCAATGCGGGACTCGATCCAGGGACTCCAGGATCATGACCTGAGCCGAAGGCAGTCGCTTAACCAACTGAGCCACCCAGGCGCCCCACAATATTTTTTTTAACTAACAAATCCCCCATATGGACCAGTGTTATTTATACACACACATACACACACACAATCTCAATACATGCTCAATGTAAAAAATTCAAATAATAACTTTTTTTTTTTCATTTTTAAAAGATTTTATTTATTTGACAGAGAGAGATACAGCGAGAGAGGGAACACAAGCAGGGGAAGTGGGAGAGGGAGAAGCAGGTTTCCCGCCGAGCAGGGAGCCCGATGCGGGACTCGATCCCAGGACCCCGGGATCATGACCTGAGCCGAAGGCAGTCGCTTAACCAACTGAGCCACCCAGGCGCCCCAAAAATTCAAATAATATCAAAATATAGAGAATAAAAAATACGTGTTTAGGGTCCTTTATCTATCCCACCCCACTCCCCTCTCCCAGAGGTACCTTAACATTTTTAAGTATAGTATTTCTCTCTTCACATTTCAGGGCATATTGTTCTGACACCTTATGCACTTAAAAACATCTATTTAAAAACAACTAGAGAAAGCATTTATAAAAATGTTTATTGATTTTTAAAAATGCATATGGTTTCACACATTAACATTTTTGACACTGGACTGTCTTATACTTCTTAGATTTAGTGAACACCCAGCTTTTTAGTTTGTTATTAGATGGTTCATACTGGATGTGTTGTTGTTGTTGTTGTTTAAGATTTTATTTATTTATTTGACAGACAGACAGATACAGCAAGAGAGGCAACACAAGCAGGGGGAATGGCAGAGGGAGAAGCAGGCTTCCCGCCGAGCAGGGAGCCCGATGCGGGGCTCGATCTCAGGACCCTGGGATCATGACCTGAGCCGAAGGCAGACGCTTAACGACTGAGCCACCCAGGCGCCCCTTGATGTGTTGTTTTGAAGTTCACTTTTCAAGAGAACCTAAATAAGTTCTTTACACAGTATTTACCATTCTCACTGCATCGATCCACATACTGTTTGATATTTTAAAGTGGTAACACATACGGCTACAGCTCTCACATTTTTCAATTGCTTCTGAGTTTATTTCTGACCCCTCACACAGTGCCATAGACATAAAGGTCTAAGTCCTTTATAAAAGAGTTTTGCAGATGAGATAAAGAATTTGAATCATACTCTTGGGAGCACTCCCATAACCTATATCTAATAGGCTCACAAAATACAAATATCTTTCCTAATGCTGAGGGCAGTAGGTGTGTCAATTGACTAATGCACTGGTTTATTTCACATTTTCTTGAAGACTGTGTAATCGGACATTCTCACCATGTCCTACCCACAAACCTGATAGGAGAGCTGTAGGTTATGCACTATCTCACCATTTTCCCCTTACAGGAAATGGGGAAGGGGAGCATTTTCTATCTCTATTCCTGCTTTTGCCTACAGCCACTGTCCTAGCCCTCCCTTCCAAACCACTCCCCCCCCCCGACCCCCCCCTCCCCAGATTCCTGAGCAGCCCTAGATTCTCTGGAGCTGGCCCAGGAATTGAGCAGGATTTGAGTGAACTCAAAGAGACTATAGTCATGTAGAGGAAGAGTGTAGAGAGATGGAGGACTCTGACCAGAGGACTCTGACCCAGACTCAGATTGGCTCCAGTTCAAAAAAAGCCTCTGAGAAGCAGGTTAACTCTGGACCTCACCAGGGGCGAGGCCCACAGGTTCAGGTGGGGTAGGGACTCTTTGGTGTTTCCTCGGCATGGAACTAAGTCACTCCACAGAGGCCCTGTGGACTCTGGGGCCTGCCCTGAATCTCACAGCAGACCTCATGGGGATGGATGCAGCCTAGACCTATCCTACCTCTGACACAGGAGAGGAATCACGTGAGCCCTAAGTGTTCCCCGGAATATGGAGCTCAGCAGCTGAAGTACGACCCTTGGGCATAAACAGCATGTCACCCTTTGAAAGCATCAGGGTATTTATAACAGCCACAGTAGAACTAGTCTAAGGGTCAAAGGACAAATGGGAACTTGTCTTTTGAACCCTTGAGATTAGTCAGCATTCTCACATTTACCCATGGGCGGAGCCGCTGCAGTGGCTTTTGAACCAGTGGTCTGATCTGCGTCTGCCACAGCCAATCAGAAGCCACGGATCTACCACAAATATCCTAGCTGCCTTCCACCTCCCAAGAGTCCCCAGCTTGGTTGGCCTCTCGCCATCTCCTCGGCACCCCCAATCCAAGCTGTCCTCATCTGTCACCTACTTTATTACAACTGCCTCCCGTGTCTTTCCTTGCTTCTGCTGTTATCCTCCACCAATCCCTCTCCATAGAGAAGTCAGAGCGATCTTTGAAAACAACTATTTCCTACCTGACCTCCACCCTACCCCATTTAAAAGACTTCTGTGGTTTTCTCCTCCCCTCAGGAAAAAACCCAAACTCCTTGGCCTGGATGGCAAGTCCCTATGCATCTACCCTTCCAGCATCTTCTTTGCACCACTGTCTCTTACACATTATATTCCAGACACACTAACCTTGAACATGATGCCGGGTTCTTTCTGATGCACAGCATTGGCTGTTGTGTCTCCATCGAAAACATTCGCTTCTATTCTGAGCATAATCTGCTTCCTCTCATTCCCCTTGCCTCCACTGAAATGTCACTGGCCCCGCAAAGCTGTCCCTGCTCACCTCTCTAAAGCCTCCTCTCCCATTACTCTGTCATATCATCCTGTTTACGTCCTCTTTTAAGAACACTTAATTATACTCTGTACTTATCCTGTTTTCTGCTTGCCTATATGAAAACTTAAATTTAGGAGAATGGGGAATGTTGTTAGGTTCCCCTTTATGTCTCCTTTTTCTAACCTAGAACATTTCCTGAACCATTGAGCCAATCCATTTTTTGGAATGAATGAGTGGGCATTATCTATATGTTTGAAATTAACTGGGAAGTGCTGCATACCATTAAAATTCACCCGCCCAGAGCTGTCTGTGTCAGGATGTGGGAAAAGGCTGAGTGAAAACGTAATAAAGCAGCTGTTCACAACCCAGGCGCCTATCAGCATCACAAATCTGTAAGCTCCACTCTGACCTGCTAAAGTCACAGTCTCCAGGGGCAGAGTCTGAACATCCTTGGTTAGGAAGTTCATTGCATGATTCTGATGCCCTTTTGTCTCAACGTGATGACAAAGAGCTTTTCCCTTCCTCTGGAGTCACTATTGTTCACAGTGGACAGCTACGGGGTGATCATACATGTGGTTAGAGACAACACGTCAACTCTCCTGTCCCAGGAGAAGCAGCAGGGGTACCCGGAGTGAGAGCAGAGCTCTCCGAAGTGATGTTCTGCCACAAGCCAAGCCTCCAGGGAAGTATATGAGCCAACTCAGATCAAAGAGCATGAGCTGCTATGGTGGTGTGTGTGAGCAGTGTGTGCGTGCCCGTGTGTGTGTGTGTGTGTGTTTAAAATAGCTCTGTTTATAAAAGCATTGTAAAAAGTTTGGAAAATATGGGGAAAACATCAAGAAGAACTTAAAAACCATCCATGACTCTTCTGCCCGAACAGAAATCATCATGTTAATATTTTGGTATTAAAAAAAAAGAAAAAAGAAGGCACCATAGTCCCTAATACATACTTAGTGCTTACCATCTGCTGGGCATTTTTTTTTTTTAATGCTTCACATGTATTTACTTATTTAACCCTCACAAAACCCAGTGAGGTATTTTCCTCACCCATTTTACAGATGAGAAAACTGAAGCCCAGGGAGGTTAGGAAATTTGCCCCAAATCATACAATTCCAGGATTTTAAGTTAGCAATCTTCCTCCAGAGCATATGTTCTTTACTACTACGTAATAAAGCTCTGCATGATTGCATATATTTATATCTGTACAAATAAACACACATATTTATGTATTTAATAGGGCAAAAAATATTTAAATATTAACAGCTTTTTCCTCGTCCTCCTATTAAGGAAGAAAGCAAGCTCATTTTTGGTTAGCTACCAGATCATAAAAAACAAATAAAATATTTTAGATTCATTGTTTTCCAGTTAACATAATGATCATCTTCCTGTCACAAAAAAGTTTTATTTGCTTATTTGTTAAACTATGAATGGGTGTGTAACTCCACCAAATGATCTTTCTGTGGCTATAACGATGATCTCCCACCTTCCACACACCCTTGACCTGCTAACTAACTTGGCCATGATTTTTTTTCCTAATCTATGGCTAAATTTTGTTTGTCAACTTGGCCCATAGTTTTCTTTTCTCATACTGTCCTTCTCTGGTTTTGGTACCAAGGTTACCACAGACCTATAAAATGAGTTGAGGAGTGCTCTGCTTTTTTCTGTTCTCTGAAAGAGTTTAAATTTGGAATTTCCTGTACAGGTTTCCCTTCTATCTGAAAACAGACTGTTCCTACGAGACCTTTCATAAGTCGAAAGGAGTGAAAAAGCAGTTACCATTACTTTATATGGAACATTTTTTTCAGCATTCTCAGGCCCCCCCAAAATAAACTCTCTTAGGCTTCTCTGATACCTTAGGACACATCTAGCTAAGGGATGCACAAAATAAATCAAGATAAAGCACAGACGCTCACAGATGCAGCTCGAAGCTCTGGCGACTTGATGCTGAGTGTCGCTTCTGGGGAAGGAGCCTGGAGGGGCCCCTCCCGCGGCTGGGGGCGCACACTACCTCTAGAAGGATTCACTGCAAAACAAATGCTGAGTGCTATTTCCGCTTTTCAGTTTTTTTCATAAAAGCAAAAATCCTCCTCAGATTTTTTTCAGTTAGTGAAAACAAATACTAATGTAGAACTTTAATAAAAATTAAATGGTATAAAATGTAGGGATCCGAAGAGGTACGTGCACCCCGATGTTTATAGCAGCAATGTCCACAATAGCCAAACTGTGGAAAGAGCCAAGATGTCCGTCAATAGATGAATGGGTAAAGAAGATGTGGTATATATACACAATGGAATATTATGCACCCGTCAAAAGGAATGAGCTCTTGCCATTTGCAACGACGTGGTTGGAACTGGAGGGTATTATCCTGAGCGAAATAAGTCAAACAGAGAAAGACATGTATCATATGACCTCACTGATATGAGGAATTCTTAATCTCAGGAAACAACTGAGGGTTGCTGGAGTGGGGGGTGGAGTGGGAGGAAAGGGGTGACTAGGTGATAGACACTGGGCAGGGTATGTGCTCTGGTGAGCGCTGTGAATTGTGCAAGACGGTTGAATCTCAGATCTGTACCTCTGAAACAAATAATGCAATATATGTTAAGAAAAAAAAAAAGAAGAAGAAGAAGAAGATAGCAGGAGGGGAAGAATGAAGGTGGGGAAATCGGTGGGGGGAGACGAACCCTGAGAGACTATGGACTCTGAAAAACAAACTGAGGGTTCTAGAGGGAAGGGAGGTGGGAGGATGGGTTAGCCTGGTGATGGGTATTAAAGAGGGCACGTTCTGCATGGAGCACTGGGTGTTATGCACAAACAATGAATCATGCAACACTACATCTAAAACTAATGATTTAATGTGTGGTGATTAACATAACAATAAAAAATTTTAAAAAAATTAAATGGTATAATGTGAACTTGCGAAAAGCAAGAGATACCCATACCTTGAGCTCATCTATAAAAGTAGTCCTGCCCCAGGATTTGGCTCACAGAAAGTTGCTGTTGCTGTTTGTTTTGTTTTAATTCAATTCCTTCAATGGTTCCAGCACAAATTAGGTTTTGTCTTATTTTTTTCATCTATTCTGATCATTTTTGTTTTCCTAGGAACGTACCTATTTCTCATAAGTTTTAAAATTTATTGGCATAAAGTTGTTTTCTTGTACTTCTACATGTGTAGTAATATTCTCTTTTTAAATTGCCAGTATGGGGCGCCTGGGTGGCTCAGTTGGTTAAGCGACTGCCTTCGGCTCAGGTCATGATCCTGGAGTCCCGGGATCGAGTCCCGCATCGGGCTCCCTGCTCGGCGGGGAGTCTGCTTCTCCCTCTGACCCTCCTCCCTCTCATGCTCTCTGTCTCTCATTCTCTCTGTCTCAAATAAATAAATAAAATCTTTAAAAAAAAACAAAAAATAAAAAAAATTAAAAAAAAAATAAATTGCCAGTATGGTCTATTTGTGACTTTTCTTTTTACTTTTTTCCTGATAAATCCCAACAAAAGTTGCCATTTTTATTTACTCTTTTAAAAACAAACTTTTCTTGATATTTTCCTAGGTATCTTTCATTTGTATCTCATCAGTTTCTATCCCTTCAATTTTCTTTGGGTTATTCGGTGAGTCTGTTTTTCCCCATGGCTTCTCAACTTGGATCCTTAGCTCATTTTTTAGTCATTCTTCTTTTTAAAGATTTATTTATTTACTTGAGAGGGAGAGCACATGTGCAAGAGCGTGGGGGAAGGGACAGAGGCAGTGAATCTCAAGAAGACTCCCCGCTGAGCACAGAGCCCATGTGAGGCTCCATCTCAGGACCTTGAGATCATGACTTGAGCAGAAATCAAGTCGGTCACTTAACCAACTGAGCCACCCAGGCACCCCGCCACTCTTCTTTTTTTAATATAAGCATTTAAGTCTACAGATTTCTTTCTCATCATGGTCTTAGCTACATCCCACAGGTTTTGAAAGACAGTATTCTTGTTATTATTCGTTTCTTAGAATTTCCTAATTTCTATTAATTCTTCTTTGATTGATTTACAAGTATGTTTTTAAATTTCTGAATTTATAGATTTTCAGTGATCTAACCCATTAGAGCAAGAAAATGTGATAGGTGTGTTACCAACTCTCCAAAAACCGTTGATATCTTCTTTAAGGCCAAATTCACCTAATCAATTTCCAGAAATGTCCCCTGTGTGTTTTTAAAACGTGGGTTTTGTGCCAATAACCCTGCAAAAGTCAGCTTCTGTAACTCCTATAGATGTTTTTTCTGGCCTTCAAGGAATCCCCCCATTTTTTTGCCAGTAAAAAATGCACTGAAAGAACATTTTTTAAAACATATTTCATCCAAATATTTTACACATGCTGGGCCAGGAAGGAATCTTGTATTTAGAAGTGGAAAATTTCTATAAATTTAAGATGAGTTATTTTCTCTCTCATTCCAGCAACTTGACCTCAACTGTAGCATGGACTATATGGTATTATGATTAGATATTCAGAAGTCTGTCCCCCTCATTTGATATTAAACACCTTAGGGAGAATTCCTAGGTCATACTCACTTTGTAAGCCATCTCTTGCCTGGAACATAGTATTATATTAACAGATTTGACTTAAACCAATGAAATTCATTAATAGTAATGCTGCTAAATGGGTAAGCTCAAGTACAGAGACCTTCTTATCCATCTTTGGACCCCTAAACCCAATGTGGTACCTGGTACAGTGAGGGCTCACTGATCAACCCCAAGAAAGTAACTTTTTAAAATCTGCATAGAAGAATTTTACATTACAAACACTAAAGAACGCATGTGAGTGAGCCTTGAACATTTAATTGTGTGGTTTGTCCATGAACTCAGGAGATTTGAATTTATTTCCTGAAAAGAATTTTAATTGGGCTTGACTAGTTAACTCTTGCTGCTTCCCCAAGGACTTTCACTTGAAATGCATTGACTAATTCATTTCTGTGGTTTCTAGAAATAATTCTTACAGAAAT